TCGGCATTATTTTTTCCCAATCTATAGAGAAGAGTTCGACTTTCTATTAAAATTTGCAAACAGCTCCTTCAAAAGGTTTTGCTAAACAAAGGCTGCCTAGATTTCCCTTACTGACTAGATGATCCAGTTAGTTGAAAAAACCTTAAAAGTTTGTTCTTTAGTTATAAACTCAAAACAACTAGATAACATTCATTCAATTTAGTAGGTAAGCTAAGTTGAAGGATACTCGTAGCTCAAATTTACAGTGGTACCAACAAATCAAGAATTTTGAATATCATGCTTGCTTATCTTATAACTATCCGATTATATCTAATGGAATTAATGTAAATGCTGCGATGGGGCTTGTAAGATGTTGAACACCTTTCAATAAATACATGCAAGGTCATTGTCTAAGAAAAAAAAGTAAAACCTTGTAAAAAAAAGTATTAGAGGGATCCTTGATTGTTTTGATATATGATAGTCAAACAAAGATAAATAGCAACACCCCTTCTCATAAGAACGAAGAACAAAAAGAAATGTCCTCTAAATTTCTATAACTCTTGGCGTTTACAGGAAAAATTAAGAATAAAGAAAAGAACAGCTGACTGAGTAACAATCCTCGCGTATACATATAGTGTAATGGCTTTATCAAGAGTATCAAATCCTGAGTTTGGGGCGCACCTCAAATTGGCCGAGATTTAGTTGATTCTAACCCTACACCTTAACATAACTAAAAAGCGGCTATCAATTTACTCATCTGCTTGCTTTTATTGATTTCCCTCATTCGCAGACGTTCCAACTAAGATCTTGTAGCCATATAGTTCGAGAGTTCCCAGATTTTGAAAGAAATCATTCACGATGATTTAGTGGACTTCAAATACATCGAATAAAACATAAAATTTCAATTGATATGGTATAAGAAGATTTTTCAAAAAAAAACTGTCTTAAAAGCACTCGAGAGCTTAATTTTTCAATAAACTATTGATAAACTCATAATAATTTGATGTAAACATGAAGTTCAAGCTATTACTAAAAAAATGATAAGTTAGATAGTCCAGACATCTAGAAAAGCTCTACAATCAAAATTTTCCCCAATAATCTAAATTCTCTTAACAGCTAATGCTCTTTATTGATTTTAGCGCAAGCCCATGAAGCTATCACTAGCTTTCACTTTTTATTCAGTGTAAACGTTTCGCATGAGAGGTTTCTGCAAAATAGCTAGTATTCAAGAACAACACCTGCTATGCAGCTGGCGTTGACGGATTTCTTTTCCTTTCAGCGACATTTCGGCGTGTCATTAAGAACAGAAGTTTAGACATTGGAGAAATTAGGGAAAAAATGTCCAAAACCCGAAGCATATGCAATTGTTCCTGACTATCCTATACTCAAATGATTCTAATTTAAAAAAACCAGATCACTGAGAAAAGAAATCA